TTCTTCCAGTAGTGAGATGATAATCACACTCAATCTTGTCATTCATTTTCATCACCATGAACCAAGAAAAAAAGGAAGGGAGAGTGTTCTTTTAGTTGAGCAAAGTGACACGAAGCAAAACAGAATAAAAGTGATACTCTTACTCAAAACGGTGTCACTTTTCATATTTGGGTTTCTTTGACTTTTCAACGTCTGCCGATGTGGCTAAGCAAATGCTACATCACCACATGTATAAACCAACTTTTTATAAGTTTTGAAGTGTAGACAACCATCAAAATCAAGCTAAAGCTTAACTCTAGCTTCATAAGCAATGTGAAATCGATAGTTAAGATGCCAATTTGTTGTCAAATTTATGCAGAGAAAAACTAAGCTCAAGCTTAACTCTAGCTTCATAAGCAATGTGAAATCGATAGTTAAGATGCCAATTTGTTGTCAAATTTATGCAGAGAAAAACTAAGCTCAAGCTTGACAAACACTACATACAAACTAAAGGTGGAAAATTGGCCCGCCTGACTCAACTTGGCTCGGCTCGTGGCGGGTTAAGCCAAATTACGGGCCAGGCCTAACCCAGCCCTCCATTATTGACGGGTCAGGTTAGACTCGCCTCTTTGGCCAGACAGGTTGGCCTAGGTCGGCCTGCCAACCCTAACCTGATAGGTTTTCGTGCGGGTCAGCTTGGAATATTTTTATTTTTTTTTCTTTTGTGTAATTTTTTTAGCTAATTTTTCAAATATCACTAATTCAATTAAATTAATTTTTTTGTTAACATTTCAAATATTAATTCAATTTTAATACATTTAAATTGTAATATAAGAAAAATTAGATTTATTCATTTATCAAAATCAGTAATGATATGAGAAAAGTCAATTATACCCTCATATATTATTTTCTATGATATTGATTATTATGAAATGGTCTGAAAATATATAAAATAATAAAATTTCAAGAAATAAATTAAAATCTATTTAAATTAATTGATTTTACTCTGACTTGTATTCTAGCATGGCTAATTTATTACTCTGCTTATTTCCATTTTAGTAAGACATTGTATAATTAATATAATCTCTTCTATATTGATTTTGAGATTTAATATTTTATTGTTATCATATAATTAATATTTTATTATCAAAGTAAAAACAAAATCATTTTTTGACCAAAGAGCATGGAAAAAAAATTAGGCAAATATAAAAGGTTAGGCTTAGGTTCTCTCTTGATTTTTTTACATTTTTTGTTTTGTCCTTATGTGTTTGGGCATTTGAGTTATTTGACACTTGTTTATCTCTCAATGGCTACTTATATTTTTTAAGGTCTCTTTTGACTTTTACGTTAGTAATAAAATAGATTTACATTTATACCATCTATAAAGTTAAGTTAAGCGGTCTTATACCGTTTATTGTCCTATTTTTGTCTTTTAATAAACTTGTACCCCTTTTAATTGTTTTTATGAACATATGTCCTTATTTGATTTTTTCCCTTCATAAAATCATATAAAACATCATCTAATTCACTTTTCATAATATCCAAATTACTCTTAATATTAATTATTTAAAAAGAGGTATTTTATGTCTTTTAACATTTCTAATTAAATTTGTTTAACAAATTCTCTTTAAGGAGGTAAGTGACAATTTTTTAAATGTGAAGGGAGGTGAGAGATGATTTTTTATCCCTTTGGAGGTGTGAGTGACTGAAATCCAAACCTTAAGGGACATAAGCGATATTTAGCCTTTTTTTATATGTCAATAACGACACTAAGCAAGACCTTAGTTGAAAATGATATATATTTGCTGTCAAAACAACTTAAAACACAAATTTACGGATTTGGGTTTTTATTTTTTTCTATTATATAATAGCCTTTTTTTTAAACCCCCAACCACCAAGGTGGGGGTTTTCAACTCGCGGGTCAACCCGACGAGTTGGGTTGGGTTGCCAACGGTTGACCCGATGGGTGAAAACCCCAACCGACAGGTTGGACGGGTTTTGAAAAAAAATAAATAACTTGTCGGGTCATTGGGTTGGCCTAAGAAGTCTTGGTTGCCCAACGGGGTATACCTGGTCGGGTTGACCTGGGTTGAGACAGGCCAGGTTAGGGTTGACCGCTTAACCCGACCTATTTGTTTCACCTCAATACAAACAACTCTTAAAACCCTAAAGTTTTACGTTATCGTACAAAAACCCCAACACATATCAAACATTCAAATCATGTCCTCGACCCATAACCTTCCCCTTCTTCCCAAAGCAGCCGCGATTGGTTCTTCCCTTCACACTCCTTCGTTCACTCCTCTCATCAGTCCACGCCGAAATACCAAAAACACCCTCTTAAATTCTCCAAGAATACTAGATTGTCCCAACCACGTCAGCACGATTCGAAACCCCCAGAAGATTGTTTCGCTCTGTTTCATCCTCCAACTACTTAGAGACTCAACTATTTAGGGGTTAAAAAGAGCGTTGCATTCCACAGCCGTGCAGAGCAGCTACCGAAACCCGAAGAAATCGATGCCAAATCAGATCGAAATGCTGGCATTTTGGATGAAAAACCGGCAAGAAGAATGTTGGGTTTTTGGGTAACGGGTGAAGGTCCGATGGCATATGGCAATTTGCTTAGCGGTAGGTGTGGGTTTTGTGTGTAAAATTCTTGAATTTTGGGCCATCTTCTAATTTTGTTTGAAAGATGAATTTTTAGATTGAATTAATATTGTTTGAAATAATTGCAGGTTGTCTCCCAGCTTGACTTAAGTAAATAAATTGCAGGAAAAAATTATTATTATTTTTGTTCATTTTTAATTTTAAATTTGGTGAATTATGAATCAAAGTTATGGCGGTTAATTTAGTTGGCCAGCGTTTCTTTCGAGTGTTTGTTCTTGATTGATTTGTTGTATACAATCTTGAATATAAATGAAGTGTCACATTTCTTTCTTCTATTCATGTCCTTTTTCATTTACATGAAGAATACTTTAAGCTTCTTCTCTGCATGGCACATGGGTTTTCTATTGATTTATCCAATTTTGAAGCTTTTTATGTTGAACTCTCACCCTGAAGTTTTGAAAAAAGTTTCAAAACGATGCCGTTCGGTTCAAACCCGCCGCCAGTCTCCTCCTTCCTCAACCGGCCGGGATTGTTTGTTTGTAATGGTGAAAGATACTTTTCATTAATCGGAAATAAATAAATAATACTAAATTCTCAATTTCTTCTTACAAATTTTATCTCATAACAAACAGCTCGCAATTGATTGGTCAAAATATTATATGAGTCAATTGATCGGTCAAAATTTATTATTGAGATCTAAGTGAGATCTATTACGAGCAGACAATTACAAACTATCACATCGAGATTGTGAGAGAAATATTATGAGAAGGATTGTGTGTGTAGTATTTTCTTAAAAACCCAATCAATATACAATTCGATGTAACAGTTAACAATGGTCAATTATAATTTATCAAGTGAGATATATTATAAGCAATACGAATTGACGTATCGAGTTATGAGGAAGTTTGTGAAAAAAAGTTGTGCGTATAGAATTTTCCCAAAATTCCAGTATGTATCAGCTATATATATAGCTAAGTTAGTTATAACTGACCATGAGTAATGCTACATTACACCACCTATTACACAATTCATAACTATGATATAACATATCTCACATCCACACAAATTTTTAATTTTTAATTTTATATATAATAAAATAATATTAGTAAAATGGTGATAGTGTAATGAAAATGATGTAATGGCTGTGTAAATGTAGTATTACTCGACCATAACACAAACAATAATAGAAAAAACTAACTAATAAAGTAACAAATTTAATTATGACTTATATTCTCTCTCCGAAAATGATAGAGCCACGAAGGTTGCATGTCTAATCTGTGTATTGAATGACGTAATAAAATCCTGACCGTTGATAATTAATGAAATGAATCAACGATTAAGAGTTTGTCACGTCATTGGGTACAGATTCGGTGTGCAACCTTCGGTGGGTGTAGCGTTACTATATGTCCCCTTCACAACTCCTTCATTCACTCCACCGAAATACCAAAAAGCCCTCGTGGATTCTCCACAAATCCTGGACTGTCACTGTTACGGTCAACCCCATTGAAACCCCCCAAAAACGCCGTCATTTTTTCGCTCCGTTTCTTCCTCCGACCTTCCTTCATGCACTCCAACTATGCCGGGCTTCGAAAAAGAGCGTCGTATTCCGAGGCCCAGGGAGCCGCCGAAACGTGAAGAAATCGTGCTGTTTCGGATGGAAACGCTGACATTTCGGGTGAAAAAACCGGTGAGGAGAATGCTGGTTTTGGGTCCACGGGTCAAGGTCCGGTGGCTTTGGTGATTTGCTGTGGTAGGTGTGGGCTCGGTTTGTAAACTATTGAAAGTTTAGGGCGTTTTGGTAGTTCTGTTGAAAGATGAAATATTTAGGTTGAATTAATGTTGCTTGATGTAGTGAGATTGTGATCGCATCTTTTAGTTCTTTGGTGCACAGAATTTGTCTTTACAGGTAAGATTTATTTATTCATTTTTTAAGATTCATAAGGAAGACTCATAATATTTCAAGATTCTCGACGGACGCGTGTTATATAATTCTTTACGTTTAACGTAATTAGAATAAATGATTGGTTATATTATGAATCAAATTACCGGGGGTTAATTGTTGGGCATTGGTTGTGGATTTTTTTTTTTTTATGATGTTTAATAGTTTCATGAAGCTTCACGATGGTTCAGAAGTAAGAATTTGCTTTTTGTTTTCAAAACAAAGGTATTTTTGCTTTGATTGTGTAACAAAATGTTGCCTTTCTATTTTCGAGAGGGAAAATAATTTTTGAGGTAGAACCAAATATATTTTTCAATGTTGATCAACTTTTGCGCCATTCACGGCTGATCATAAGATAAAAGTGAGATGTTTCTGGCTTTTAATGGTTGAGTGATTAAATCATGTATTTTTTGTATAATTCTTTTGCTGAAAATGGATATTTTTAATCATCTGTCGTGGTATTGTTTTGCATTTGCAGGAGCAGGTGTCGAAGCGAATACTAGATTACAAGCTTGCAATTTGTCGGATTCCATCGATGTCAGTAGCTCCATATCAGATGCGAGTGACCAGCTCCCGAGCAAAGGCCTAAAAAACTTGGCTATAATTCTCTACTGACACTTTTATCAATCCGGTTCTATTTTGAAGTACACTGACATGTCTCCAGATCAAGATCATCGGATAACATTCCAGAAGAAGTTTCTCTAACTAAGCAGCTTGCTTATCGGCTGGACATAGTTTTATCAACTATTCATATGCTAAGCCACTGGCATTGTTGCTGCACTCTCTACTACTTATTTGTTTTGGTGGTTTGGCACTCTCTTTTGTGAAGATGATGGCTTAGCAGATTGCTTTGGCTGTCTTGGACGTACGTTGCTGATTCTGGCAGCCATGTGAGCTCAGAAGGTATTGGTCCAAGACTAGTTTCAGTTTCCATAAGTTTCGGCGGGATGATTATATTTGCAACGATGCTTGGGCGTTTTCTGATTCAATATGAGAAGCTTGACTCATAAGGAAAGGAAGAAGTGAGGTAGTGAAGCAAAACCACACCCTAATTCTCGGGTGGAGTGATAAACTGGTAAAATTCATTCTGAGACATGTCCGTGTGGACTTTTTTCTTTGTGCTTAACTTTTTTCTTTTCTATTTTTTCATTTATCAAGTATGTGACCTGGATATCATAAATTTATTTATTGGTTAATAGTTAATTGTGTTGCATAGTTGATATGATTCCCTTTATGGAGACATGGATTCGAATTCTATGTTCTATATAATAGAAAAATCGGACTAATTAATGCATGGTAGGGGACTATAAGGTGCAACCTTGTAAGTGATGATTTCGTATTTCTGCATCCTCATGTGAAAAACTACTTTTAGCTGCTTCTCCTAATGCAGCCCTATCCCTCAGAAGGTTGAAACAATAAAAATGGGGCAGAAAACATTGGTTTTTATAAAAACCAGATTTACTTATTAGAGAAACAAAATCATATTGGGGTCTTGCATTTTGTTTTCATTGTGATGTACTAGAAAGTCTTTCATATAATAAAATTTGATCTCGAGAAGAATAAAGGGCATTTAGTAAACAAATTTCATGAACGATATTTTAAAATTAGAATACCCATGAGGATTTAGCCAGATGTCGGTTGTGGTTTGCTCCACAATTTTGGGATTCAAGCTCCCTCATGGGCAACTATAAGGCCGAAGGCTATTATTTCCCATTTCCCGAAGCGGGGTTCACAAAAGAACAGCAAAGAACTTTGATTTGTTTTAAAATTATAACTAATTTTTAGGATTTTATTTGAAAGCCATTTTTGAAAACTTTCAACTAAACATATTTCTAACTTTCTGTGTCTCTTGTCTATGTTAGAAACCATGTTTATATATACAGTGTAAAGGGTATACTTGTACTTTATTAGTGTGTGATATATTGAGTTAGGGTGTACTGTTGACATTTAAGAAGAAATAGAGAAAAGTAACATGGTATCAGAGCCTGAAACGCGTAAACCCTAAACCCATTGCGTGATTCAGTTTTCCGGCGACGTCTGGCTTCTTCCCTGGTTTTTTCCGGCGACGTCGGCTTCTTCCTTGGTTTTTCCGGCGACGTCAGACCCCTTCTTTGTGTTTCGGCGACGTCAGACCCTTCCCATTTGCGTGATTCAGTTTTTCGGCGACGTCTGACGCCTTCCCTGCGTTTTCCGGCGACGTCAGACCCTTCTTTGCGATTTCCGGCGAAGTCTGACCCCTCTCTTGCGATTTCCGGCGACGTCAGACCCCTTCCCTCTGTTCTCCGCGGACGTCTGACTCTCTCTTCATTGTTCTCTTAGTTTTCCGGCGAGTGTTGATTCTGAGTTTGGTTCTCCTCTGTTTTTTTTGGTTTGTGCAAAAAAAAAAAAAAAAAAAAAAAAAAAAAATATTTTTTTTGCAGGTCTTCTGTCCGAAATATGGTGCTGTTTTTGTGTGAAAATGGGAATGCTTTGTGTTGGCTGGGCGTTGAAAATGTGATACCAGCGTTGTTCTGAATCCTGGTGGTTTGAGCTGTTGTGCTTGCTTGGTGGTTTGAGTTGTTGTGCTTGATTGGGTGGTTTGAATTGTTGTGAATCTGTTGGTTACGGGTTCTTTGCTGGACAGTATGGCTGCGGACGGTAAGCAGGTGGTGACTGAAATTGTCACTTCCTCCACCAAAATTACCGATCGGAAATTATGGGAAAGAAGAATTATATTCAATGAGCGAAAATCCGACGATATGTGTCCAGCCTTGATATGGGAGACCATTTAATCGAGGATCCACCTGAGGCAACAGAGGGATGACAGTAAAACTCGAAAGAGATGGCTCATGGAAGATGATAAGCTCTTCAAGATTCAGAATACTCTTGATTCGTCCGTGGATGATGTGATTGGTCACTGTGATACAGTCAAGAGTTATGGGAGTATCTAGAGTTCTTGTATGCTGGTAAACAAGACTTGTCTCATGCCACGAATGTTATAAAGATATATCGAGCAACTATGCAAGAGAAGACACTGCTCGAATATTATACCGAGATAAAACAAGCCTTTGAAGAAAAAAAAGGCTATGTTTCCTGTTCCTACTGACGTGAAAATGATGCAAGCATAAGAAGAACAGGTGGTTGTGCAAGTTTCTAGCTGGGTTGAGACCGGAATATGAGATAGCTCGTACACAACTTCTCACCGGTGAGACACTTCCCTCTCTTACTGTCTTTGCTCGCCTTCTTAGAGTTAGTAAGGGGGAAGATCGAGGATTGTTAAGGACAAGGAAACCTCAAGGATCCTAACGTGATCAGGGCCCAGCTAGTATGAAGTCTAGTGATAACAAAGGATAAAGGGACAAGCCGTGATCCTAGGACAATCGTGGTACTGGCCCCGTACTTGCTTTCACTGTGGTGCTGAGGGTCATGGCAAGAAAAATTTTTGGAAGCTTCATGGCAAGCCCCTGACTATGCAAGACACCCAGAAGTTTGCTCATGTTGTCACTCAGGATGGTCTTTTACCACCCCATCACAGATACTATCTCCGCAGAGAATATGCTCGTCTCATCAGAATGCTTGCTCCCAGTCATCCATCCCATCGACCACCACTACTTTAAAACCAGTTAGGTAATCTACAGTCTGCTTGTCCACTTCTAGTAGTAACGGGTTATTGATTCTGGTGCTAGCCACCATAGACAGGCGATACAGGTATTCTCTCTCATTTTCACCTTCTCCTAATTGTCTTCGGTCACTTTAGTAATGGGTCTACTGCACCTACCATTGGAGTGGTGCCGCATCTCAACCAATCTCTGTCTCTTTCCTCTGTCTTGTGTCTTCCCCATTTTCCCTTTAATCTTTTATCAGTTAGTAAAATTACTAACGCATTCAATGTGGGTGTTACTTTTTTCCTACTCATTGTATATTTCAGGATCTTGGGACGAGGCAGATTATTGGTAGGGTGCTGTATCAGGTGGCCTGTATATGCTCGATGATGTCTCCACTCCTGTCTCTCAACCTATTGCGTGTACCAGTGATTCATCTCTATCCGTACTGCATGGTCGCCTTGGTCATCCTCCCTTCCCATTTTGAAAAGGCTGTATCCTAATGTCGGCTCAGTTGTCACACCTTGAGTGTGAGGCGTGTCAGTTTGGAAACACCATAGAGTGTCCTATAGCCCTAGGATAAACAAAAGAGCCACAGCCCCTTTTGATGTTTTACACTCTGATGTTTGGGGTCCTTGCCCTGTGTTGTCAAAGTCTGAATACGATATTTTGTTATTTTTGTGGACGATTTTTCACGGTAACTTGGTTGTATTTTATGAAAAATCGTTTGAAATATCTCCATTTTTTGTACCTTTATGAGAAATACAAATCAATTTACTTCATCTATTAAATTCTCCGAAGTGATAATGCCAAAGAATACTTTTCTGCTCCTTTCTCTCCTTTGTCTACTAGAGGTATTATTCATCAGTCATCATGTGTTATACACCTCAGCAAAATGGAGTTGCTGAACGCAAAAATCGTCATTTATTAGAAGTTGCTCGTACTCTCCTTTTTCACATGAAAGTCTCTACAGCATTTTGGGCAGTGCTATCTCTACAGCAGTCACTTGATCAATCGCATGCCTTCTTCTGTTTTGGACGGTCAAATCCCGTTCTCATCTTTTTCCATCACAGCCTTTATTCTCTCTTCCTCCTAAAGTGTTTGGGTGCACGTGCTTTGTTCAGGATGTTAGACCTCATGCATCCAAATTTGAACCTAGGTCCCTCAAGTGCAATTCGTGGTTATTCCCGATATCAGAAGGGTTACGTGTTTTTCTCCTGTCCTAGGTAAGATCTCATCTCAGCTGATGTTTCCTTTTGAAACCATCCATATGTTGAGTCCTCCACTTCATCTACTTCTCTTGAAGCACCCCCTGATGATCTTCTTACCACATACCATTATAGTCCTCTACCATCTTGTCCTCCTATCACCCAGGTATACTTCGCAGAGTTCACCCACCATGAGACTCCTGCAGCAGCGACATGATCCACTGCCCTATCGACTGCCTCGTCCTCTGATCCGGTTCCGCATCCTCTGACCATGATCCTGATCTTCCCATTGCTCTTCGTAACGGTAAGCGTTCTTGTACCTATCCTATCTCCTCATTTGTTTCCTATCACCTCTTTGTCTTCATCTTCCAAGTCTTTTATTGCCTCTTTAGACTCGTGTCTGGTCCCAACTTGTGTCTGAAGCAATTGCTCATGATGGGTGCGACGGGCTATGGAAGAAGAGATGTTGGCTCTAGAACATATGATACATGGGTTCTAATGGGGTTGCCTGAAAATAAAAAAGCTATTGGGTGCAAATGGGTTTTCACAGTGAAGGCTAATCCCGATGGGACTGTAGCCGGTTGAAAGCTCGTTTGGTTGCTAAAGGTTATGCCAGACGTATGGTATTGATTATTCTGAGACATTCTCCCCAGTGGCTAAAATGACCTCTGTCCGACTATTCATTTCTCTTGCAGCTTCAAACGTTGGCCTCTCACCAACTTGATGTAAAAAATGCCCTTCTACATGGTGATCTTATTGAAGAGGTTTACATGAGCAACCTCCGGGGTTTGTTGCTCAGGGGGAGTCAGGAA